TTAATGTACAATTACTTGAACATTACAGTTACTAGACTCCCCCATTATCAAGTACCCCCCACATACCCCATTACAATCACTGTCCATCAGCATAGTAAGATGCTATAGAATCAATACTTGTCTTCTCTGTATATACTGCCTTCCCCATGTCCCCCCCGCCCCTACATTATGTGTGCTAATCGTAATATCCCATTTCCCCCCTTATCTCTCCCGAGCTCTCTCCTAGATTTTATCCCTGTTGCTGGCAAGGAGCTCTTGCTATATTGTGCAATGGATTCAAGGGCTGTCCAGGCCTAAATGAACCACACTGGGTGTAGTACAACTGGTAAGCCCAGCCCACAAGAACCAAGCTAGCAATTTTGGGGCTGCCAACAAAGTTCAACCCTCTAGCAGATGCCATCCCCCATCACCAAAAGAAGGCAAAGTGCCTAAGTTAAAAATGAATCATTTTTCCCTCAATAAGGTCCCTCAAGATCGCTTTCCAATCTCCTCCCCGTGGAGAACAGCCCAGTCAGGGGACAACCTTTGAGCTCCCTTTTCCCTGACCAACTCAATGCGATTCACCTCTACCCCAGTGTTCTTCCTTGTAAACAGTTCCTGGTTGTACTTCGAAAAGCAATGCTCAGGAACCTCCCTCTGCCACTGCCCTTTCCACAGGATCAAGCAATCCCACTGACCAGGGTGCCCTCTTTGACAATGCCTTCTTCAATCTACCTCCAAACATGTCGGCGTGAAAACCGTACCCTTAAGGCTGCCAGCGCTCTAGCTCCCCTTCCCTCGACCTCTTTTCCCCTGGCTATTATTTTAGCGTTATTCTATCACTCTCTCCTCCAGTCTGGGGACTTTCCCCACCCGTGGGGCCTCGTCCAGTAAGTAAACAATGCTGTCAAAGCAGGATAACGTTGGGCGAGGCGTCCAAACTCTGCATTCCAGCCTCCTGGTGTTCTAAAAGCAGGAAAACAAGTCATCGCAGGGTCCCGGGAGCGAATTACTGTTCCCAGCTTCCTTTACAAAGAAGCCCGAGAGACAGTTCCAAAATCAAGCACAAATGTGCACAAATGCACAATAAACAAGAGGCAGAGGTCATGCACAGAGAGGTCAAGACCAAAAATAGACGAATTTGCCGGGGGGGAGGCGGAGAGAGGCGAGAAAACTGGGTCGAGTGCGCAAACCTGCCATGAAGCGGGAACATGGCTTGTGTTTTGTTTCTTTCTGCGATAGCAGAGCCACGTTCCCAGAGTGGGCCCACACCGAACCGTGTTGCAGGCAAGAAAGAACATAGTTAAGGTTCCAGAGCTGCCGGGAGGAGGGGAGCTGGGAACTGGGGCCCCGAACCGCCCAGCGCCGGCGCGCCCCGAGTTAAAGGCCTGCGGGGAGGCCGTGGGGACACCGCGGAGGAAACCGGCCACAGGCCGGGGGCTCACCTCCCGGCGTGGTGGAGAAGAGCGTCCCCCCCGGGGTGGTGCAATAGTCATGAGGTAGCTGCGCGGCGTCGCTGATGGGCACGGTGCGGGTGGGGATGGCGCGGCTCTGGCTGGGCTGGTGGCCGCTGCCAGCGGACGAGGACATGGCTCTGGCGCGGGCTCGGGCTTTGTCCGGCGGCGGGCAGGCGGGCGGCGGCGGCGGCGGCGGCTGGGGGCCCGGACTTCTCTGGCTCCTCGGACGGGCGGAAGGGCGGGCACAGCTGGGCGCGCTCCGTTCGCTACTCGCTCGCTTTCTCTCACTCCCTCGTGCTGCTCCGCTCCCGCCGCCGCCCTCTCAGCCGCCGCCGCCGCCGCCGCCCGATCCTCCGGCCTCCGCCAGGCGCCTCAGAAGCAGGAGCAGCGGCAGCAGCGGCGACGACGACGACCGGAAGCCAGCGAAGGCGGGAGCCAGGGGTAGTACGGGAAAGCGGGTAGGCAGGAAGTGGCGTCAAGGCGGGGCGGGGCAAGGCGAGGCGCCAGGGCGGGGCAGTACCGTAAGGGGCGCGGTCGCGTGAGGGGCGGGGTTAGCCGCCGCGGGCCTACGCCCGCTGGAGGAGTCCGCAAGTGTGAGCCGCGTTGAGACACGCAAAGAAAACTCCTGTTTTGTTTTGTTTTTTAAATTGTCAGTGCAAATCACTTTACTTGAGCTGACCTATGTTTCCTATCCACCTAAACAAAAGTATCATTTTACTTTTAATTGTTCAATATTGAAAGTAGGCAGTCCATGCTCTAAGAAAATCAGAGTAGGTGCCACTCAGTTTCCAAGACCCCTTTCCAGAGAAGGCCACTGATACCAGTTTATCCTGTGTCCTTCCAGGGACAGTCCCTATATACAAACATAATGCAGTATATAAACATTAAGAAAAGAAAGAGATGAACAGCTACTCACACCACAAGGATGAGGATTGCATTAGAGACAGACTGAAGCATGGGAAAAGGTTAAGACTATGAGGTATCTGAAAAATCTAGATATGAAACGCTATTCTTTCCTCTAGGGATCTCAGACTTCTTGGTCTCAAAATTTACATTCTTAAAATTGTTGAGGATCCAAAAAGCTTTTGTCTGTGTGGATTATACTTACTGATAATTACTGTATTAGAAACTAAAACTGAGAACTTTTAAAACATTTGTTAATTCATAAAATAATGTCATTAAATGTTAACACTTCTATTTTAAAAGTTATTGTAGAGAGGATTAAAGATGGTGACATGAGAGGTGAGACAGAGGCTTCCTCCTAAAACTGCATATAATATGAAAATATAATTAATACAACTAATCCTGAAAGAGCAACAGGAAAGAGGACTGTACCAGACTGCATACACCTGGAGAAAAGAGCAGACCTCACAGAACAGGGTAATATACCAGAGCTGTGGCCTGGCAGAAACCAAGCCCTTCGCCCCCACCCCAGCTCATCAGCAGGAGGAAGAGAAACAGAGCCGGGAGGGAGTGGAGGCCTGGGATTGCTGAATACCCAACTCCAGAGATCTGCTCTGGGAGCACAAACCTAACATTTCATGGTGCTTGCATGGTACTCTCGTGATTAGGGGGTTGGAAAGCTAAGACAAGCAGAATTCCTGGAGAGACTGAGATTCCAGCTGCTTGTGGAAAGAAGGGATCCATATCTGACAGCTCTGGGACAAAAGAAAGGTGGGTAGTCTGAAAGACTTCCTAATAAGGAAGCTCTTAGCAAGAGGGCTACTGAGGGGTAAGAATTGCACAGAGCTTACTGCTCAGAAAAAAAGACAAGTAGACAAAATTGTCCAGGTGCACTCTGCCCAGCAGGTTGGGAGCTTTCACAATCTTCAGGTGCTCTAGCTCCCCAGCTAGCTACTGAGCTACAAGTACACCCTCCATGATGCACAGCTTACTGTACCTTTCTCCCGGCAAGCCCCATCTGGCTCACAAACCAGCAAACCTTACCTTGGTATTAGGCCAGCCAGAGGGAAGATCTGTCTACAGCAACTACAAATGCAAAGCAGAGAGGCTTATACCTGTGTGCTTGGCCCACTAGTTCAGGCAGAGGAGACAGACATAGCAACCGGGAATCAGGAAACAGCTCTTTCCTCTCCCCAGGCACCAATACCATTCCCCTGCAACTCCCCCTGACATTGCTTCAGGGGCTGAGCAGCACCAAAGAGTAGAGCTTTGGGACACTAGAGGGTGCCATATACAAATATGAACTGCCAAAGGAACCTGGTACAAAGTAAAATTATGAATACAACTCCTGAGAAAGATTTAAATGACATCAACCTCATGAATCTTCCTGAAAGGGAGTTCAAAATAAAAATCACTAACATGCTCATGGAGGTATGGAAAGATATTCAAGAACTCAGGAATGAATTCCAGTCGGAGATCCAATAATTGAATAGCACAATGGAGGGTATTAAAATCAGATTAGATACGTTGAAGGAGACGATAAATGAAATAGAAACTAGAGAAGAGGAATACAAAGAAGCTGAGGCACAGAGAGAAAAAAGAATCTCTAAGAATGAAAGAATATTGAGAGAACTGTGTGACCAATCCAAATGGAACAATATTCACATTATAGGGGTACTAGAAGATGAACAGAGAGAAAAAGGGATAGAAAGTGTCTTTAAGGAGATAATTGCTGAAAACTTCCCCAGTCTGGGGAAGAAGATAGTCTCTCAGGTCATGGAGATCCACAGATCTCCCAACATAAGGGTCCCAAGGAAGACAACAGCAAGACATATAGTAATTAAAATGGTGAAGATAAAGGATAAGGACAGACTACTAAAAGCAGCCAGAGAGAGAAATAAGATCACATACAAAGGAAAACACATCAGGCTATCATCAGACTTCTCAGCAGAAACCTTATAGGCCAGAAGGGAGTGGCATGATGTATTTAATGCAATGAAGCAGAAGTGCCTGGAAGCAAGATTACTTTATGCAGCAAGATTATCAAGGAGGGATTAAACAATTTTCAGATAAGCAAAAGCTGAGAAAATTTACCTACCAGAAACCATCTCTACAGTGTACTTTGGAGAGACTGCTACAGATGTAAGTATTCCTAAGGTTTAATAGCTGTCATTAGATGTAACAAAACCACAGTAAAGAATGTAATACAGTTAATTACTAAGCAAATGGAAAATTAAATTAACTATCCCCAAAGACAATCAAGGGATAGACAAAGAGTACAGACTATGATACCTAATATATAAAGAATGGAGGAGGAAGAATAAGGAGGAGTAAAAAAAAAAAGAACTTTTAGATTGTGTTTGTAATAGCATATTAAGTGAGCCAACTTAAACTCTTAGATAGTAAAGAAGTTAATCTTGAACCTTTGGTAACCACGAATTTCAAGCCTGCAATGGCAATAAGTACATGCCTATCAATAATCACCCTAAATGTAAATGGACTGAATGCACCAATCAAAAGACACAGAGTCACCGAATGGATAAAAAACAAGACCTATCTATATGCTGCCTACAAGAGACTCACTTTAAACCCAAAGACATACACAGACTAAAAGTAAAGGAATGGAAAATGATATTTCGTGCAGCTAATAGGGAGAAAAAAGCAGGAGTTGCAGTACTTGTATCAGACAAAATAGACTTCAAAACAAAGAAAGTCACAAGAGACAAAGAAGGACATTACATAATGATAAAAGGGACAATCCAACAAGAAGGTACAACCTTTATAAATATCTATGTGCCCAACACAGGAACACCTACATATGTGAAACAAATACTAACAGAATGAAAAGGGGAAATAGAATGCAATGCATTCATTCTAGGAGACTTCAACACTCCACTCACTCTGAAGGACAGATCAACCAGACAGAAAATAAGTAAGGAGACACAGGCACTGAACAACACATTAGAACAGATGGACCTAACAGACATCTACAGAACTCTACACCCTAAAGCAGCAGAATACACATTCTTCTCAAGTGCACATGGAACATTTTCAAGAATATATCACACACTAGGCCACAAAAAGAGCCTCAGTATATTCAAAAAGATTGAAATTGTACCAACCAGTTTTCTCAGACCACAAAGGTATGAAACTAGAAATAAATTACACAAAGAAAACAGAAAAGCCCACAAACACATGGAGGCTTCACAACATGCTCCTAAATAACCAATGGATCAATGACCAAATAAAAACAGAGATCAAGCAATATATGGAAACAAATGGCAACAATAATTCAACACTGCAAAATCAGTAGGACGCAGTAAAGGCTGTGCTGAGAGGAAAGTATATTGCAATACAGGCTTACCTCAGGAAAGAAGAACAATCCCATATGAGCACTCTGAACTCACAATTAACAAAACTAGAAAAAGAAGAACAAAGGAGGCCCAAAGTAGAAGGAGGGACATACTAAAGACTACAGCATAAATAAATAAAATTGAGAAGAATAAAACAACCAAAAGAATCAATGAATGCAAGAGCTGGTTCTTTGAGAAAATCAACAAAATAGATAAACCCCTAGACAGACTTATCAAGAAATCAAGAGAGTCTACACACATAAACAGAATCAGAAATAAGAAAAGAAAATCACTACACTCCAGAAATACAAAGAATTATTAGAGAATACTGTGAAAAATTATATGCTAACAAACTGGATACCCTAGAAGAAATGGACAACTTTCTAGAAAAATACAACCTTCCAAGGCTGACCAAGGAAGAAACAGAAAATCTGAACAGACCAATTACCAGTAACAAAACTGAACTGGTAATCAAAAATCTACCTAGGAACAAAACACCTGGGCCAGATGACTTCACTGCTGAATGTTATCAAACATATAGTGAAGACCTAATAACCATCCTCCTTAAAGTTTTCCAAAGAGTAGAGGAAGCGGGAATACATCAAAAACTCATTCTATGAGGACAGCATCACTCTAATACCAAAACCAGGCAAAGACACCAAAATAAAAGAAAATTACAGACCGATATCCCTGTTGAACATAAATGCAAAAATACTTAACAAAATATTAGCAAACCGAGTTCAAAAATACATCAAAAGGATCATACACCATGACCAAGTGGGATTCATCCCAGGGATGCAAGGATGGTGCAACATTCGAAAATCCATCAACATCATCCACCACATCAACAAAAAGGACAAAAACCACATGATCATCTCCATAGATGCTGACAAAAGCATTAACAAAAATTTAACATCCATTTATGATAAAAACTCTCAACAAAATGGGTATAGAGGGCATGTACCTCAACATATATGACAAACCCACAGCCAACACTATACTTAACAGCAAGAAGCTGAAAGCTTTTCCTTTAAGATTGGGAACAAGACAAGGATGCCCACTCTCCACACTTCTATTCAACATAGTACTGGAGGTCCTAGCCATGGCAATCAGACAACACAAAGAAATAAAAGGCATCCAGATTGGCAAGGAAGAAGTCAAACTGTCCCTGTTTGCAGAT